CCTGTAGGGCGACCCGCGACCATGGAGATATAAACAGCTTTTTATAAGGTAAAAATAATAAAACAAGGTCTTTGTCTGCAATGATTGGACATGTTTTTTTTATTGTCATTAGTGATTATCTCAATTTCAGCTAAAAGAATTGACAAAATCCTACACACTGTGCCTTAAACTCAGCGTTATGGTTAAGCTTTATTATGAAACATTTTATAATTTTTTTGTCTGAATTATCATAATGAATGTTTTAAAAGAAATAATTTTTTTTAAAGTTTTCAGTAAATCATTATGTTGTGGAATACTTATGTCTAAATCACCTTGACACTGTCCACTTTTCATATCTTGTGATATCCTTCCGGACGTCAGCATCAAGTTGACCTACTTTCTGAGACAGGATGGGGCAAGTTATGATTGGTTGTTCATTCTCACATGATGTTAGCTGACAGTATATCATCGCATGGCCGCCTATGACAGGCGGGCCCACATCCGACAGACTTCGTGATTGTCTTCTGTTCCATGTCTGCCCATTAATAAATGACTTTATGATCATACCCGAAAGACTATTTGTCTTTTTATCACCTTTCGCCGTGTTTCTCACCATCTTCCCTCGACACATTCTTTAAGTGTTCTTTAAAGTGCTCTCACAAGTGAGCAGGTCAGAACGAGTGGTATGAGCCGTGCAGATGTCAACAATGTTGTTTAAGACAAACAACACCTGGCAGTACTTAATAACACTTCCTATCTTTTTAAATTAACATCTCTGAACTAACAACAGTCAGTTGTTGAGAGCACGCTCTTGAGCTTCAACAAAGATGCAGCTGTTTTTTTCTCCAAAGTGGAGAACCAGCGTTTGGTCGTGAGSTTTGGCCCATTGAGTCAAAGGGAGAACCCCTCAGCCTGGACAGACCACCACTCGCTCTCGTCCATTCTCTGAGCTTATCAAAACCAAACAGGCGGAAGTATTCTATTTTTGAGACGGACACAGAGAAGCGCCTTGTCTCTGATCTTCGACTGAAAGCGATGCTGAAAGAGTAATGTGGGCCTGGAAACGTCTGACTAGGTGAGGTTCTGAGAGTTCTTCACCTCAGCTGGACGATCTTCCCTGATTTGAACCAAGGCCCAAGGTAATGGCTGACCATTACCAAGCGTACCTGAGGTCTGGCTGGATTCATTGAGAAATGTATGCCCTTTCTGGTCAAAATCCACATTTTTAAGGATAAAGTTAAAACTAACTAATCATCTTCCTTTCATTATCCTCCTTTCTTTTCTCTTAAACATGCCCTGCCAAAACTTAAGAAAAAAGTGTCGCAAACAAATTGTTTATTAACATCTGAACCTCTCCTTGGGCTGCTACCTTATCGTGGTGGAGGGGTTTGTGTGTCCCAATGATCCTAGGAGCTATGCTGTCTGGGGC